GAACCATGAACCTTTCTGTTAGCAGCTCAGTGCTTAACTGTGTGGGCCACCAGGGGTCCTCTCCATTAAGGCAGTGGTCCTCAAAATATACTTCCCAGAGGAGGAAGAGAAGCAGCAGGAGCATCTCCTGGGAACTTGTTAGAAATATAAATTCTCAGCCCTCACCCCTTCACTGACCAGCTTCTGAATCATTAATGTGAGTATAAGGCCCAGCACTCTGTTGTAAGAATTCCTCCCGGTGATTCTCATGTGGCCCAGAGTTTGAGAACCACCGCTTTAGGACAATACAGATGTGTTTCAAAACTTGTGTTAATTTTGATGACTCTCTAACCATCTGGCCTATTTAAACATTCATCAAAGCTTCATGGCATCTTTCAGAGACAGTAGGAATTTAACTTTGAAACAAAACTGAAATTTTTCCCCCAGCTTTATAAATTACTTAATAGATAGCCAGATGCTGGGTATAAAATTTGCTCTCAAGCAAAAATTCTTGGTATACTTTTTCCCACTTCAACCCCTTCAACAGGAAACGTACCATTAGAAAAATGCAGCAGAGGTTCCTGTTTAGTTTACTGCAACAAAATTTGAGGCAGGGGTTGCTACCTCCCTGGCTGTCAAGAGTCCTTCCCGGCATAAGTGACTTTAGGTGCCTGTGCCCACTGCAATTCATCAAACTGGCTGCCAAATCGCTGTTTTCTTGCACCATGCCAGTCTACGTATTTGCAAAGCCCATCTGGCCACTGCAGCATTTGAAGTTGAGACTCTGGCATTCAGGACTATCCCATCCTCCTTCCGTTGGTGAATAATTCAGTTCTGTCTTACCTGGTGTTCAATGCTCAGAAATCTTTTATAACATAAAGAAACATTATAATGGTGCTGGTAATATAATTAATGACCTGTATCAGCTCTAAAGCCTGTGTTAAAAACATTACGAAAATGTGTGTGTGCAGATTCAAGGCATGGCTGCTGCCCTTAAGTAACTATTCCTAAAGATTTTGTTTCTCTTTTATTGAATGAAAGCTGATCTATAATTATCTTTTAAATCAACTCATGGCTAGAAGTCTACACATAAGGCATGTATTAGCAAAATCCATACTCAAGCTGGGAAGCCACTGAATATAACTATCACTGTATTTAGTTTTAATAACTTGTTGTTATTTATTTATTAAAAAAAAAGAAGAAAAAGCAGCAGCAGCATCCTTGGTGGCGCAGTGGTTAAGCACTCGGCTGCAAACCAAAAGTTCGGCAGTTCGAACCCACCAGCTGCTCCACAGGAGAAATGTGTGGCAGTCTGCTTATGTAAAGAAATTCAAAACCAAATTCACTGCCATCAAGTCAATTCCAACTCATAGCAACCCCCATTGGGATTCCAAGGCTATAAATCTTTATGGAAGCAAACTGCCCCATCTTTTTTCCACAGAATGGCTGGTGCACTCGAACCACTGACCTTTTGGTTAGCAGCCAAATGCTTTAACCGCTACACCACCAGAGCTCCTTTCTGTAAAGACCACAGCCTTGGAAAGACTATGGGGAAGTTCTACTCTGCCATATAGTGTCACTATGAGTCAGAATCAACTCAAGCGCAACAAATTTGGTTCCTTGGGGTTATAAAAGGGGTGAAAGAAGCTAAAGATTAACTGGGACTAGGAGACAAAATAATAATAATAGTTCAAATAAGGCAAGAGCAGAGGAATGTTTAATCCAGAGAAGATTATGAAACATACATTACAAGTAAGACTTGGATTGCTCAAGTGGCAGAATTAATTGGGCCCCTCTTCTAAACAGTGTGCTTTGAAAGAGGTGATTCCTCACACATTCTCCTAACACTTCACAGTTTCTGGAAGTGACCCCGTTTAATTTCAAATCCCTTTGGAATCTTGCTGTGTGTGATCCTGAGACAAGCCTTGATAGGCACCACCATTTTTTTTTAAAAGGAAGCCTTGTATCAGGGACCTGTTTCCTTGGTTACCAGAATTACAAGCACACGTACCATGGCAAACACTTCCTTCCAGCCATCTTAGGACAACGTTGCCCGAACCTTGTGCAAGGTCACTCTTAGAAAGAAAAGGAATAAAGGCCGATAACATCTCTTAGAATTCTGGACCGTAGGCTGCCTGTTGGATGCTACACTTTTAGGCACAGAAACAACAGCCTTGACAATGCTGGAAAAGCAAAATGGCATCTGGATCACAGGGAGATACACGCGTTCGAGCCTCAGCCTCACTCTCACGTCTGACGTCACAGCATTCCTGATGACCTGCGGCATCGCCAAATGGAGTAGCATCGACGCAATTGTCACTACTTTCCTGGCGGCGTCTGCATTTCTAGGCTGCTGTGTGATTGGATGACTACCCATCTAAACAGGTGACCATGCTTAGGGACCCTCTTTGATTCTACCCTTGTCACATGCTGTAGAGGCAGGAGGAATAATTACGCCATCGCCCAAAGCAGGGCACTCAAGAAGCTCCTTTCTACTGCACATCACTGAGCTCTGGTGGCCTAGTGCCTAAGGCATTTGACTGCTAACTAGAAGGTTGGTGGTTCAAACCCACCAGCCACTCCTCGGAAGGAAGACTGGCCAATCTATTTCCATAAAGATTTGCCAACTCCAAAACCCAGTGGGGGTCGCTATGAGTGGGAACTGACTCGACTGGTTGCTAGGAGAGCGGGAATCAGCTGCAGCCAGAGAAGCAAACAGAAACCAATCCCACGAGTGGTAGTCCGAGGTGTGCTTCCCATTAAACAGCAAAGTTGAACGTCATAAACTGCACCAGATGCACTGGGAAGCATGGTTTTTGACAGCAAATACTGTGTTACAAAAGGGTGGTAAATGAAACTGAGCGTGGGGTTTTTTTGGAAAGAGAGAATCTAAATAGACATCTTTTGAACACCAAGGCTGGGCAGGTTAGAACTGTGCTTGGACTTTTCATTCTTGATGTAACTTAATCCTCTAACTATGCTGCAAGGTGTTCGTTAACCATCACCCCCCGGGGGTGGGGTGAATAGGACGCCCGAGGCTCAGGGTCAGTCTCCGCCCAGAGCCTGTGAATGGCAGCCGTCGGATTCAAACCAGGGGCTAAGGCCATCCCAAGTCAGTGCACTAGCTAAAATCACACTGTGGACCTCTAGCCCAAGTCCATTTACAAATAAGACTTATTTCAAATTTTTTACATAAATACTTTCTTTTTCCCCCAGAAATGTTCAAGTAGGATGCAATGTTTGCCTTTTCTTGCTAATCTAGACTATTTAGAGGGGCAAACAAAAAAAATTATTACAAAAACAAAATTTCCCCCAGCTGTCAAATGAATGATTTTAGATCTACCTTCTATGAACTTAACTCAAACACACACACACACACACACATACCCCGTCTCTACACCCAATATTAAAAACCTACAACTCATAACGGTCACAGTTTCTCACTGGTACACTTCTAAATGTACCCTCCTCAGAAAGAATTTCTTTCATCACTTAGCTATGGGAAATGAGCACAGATGGAATCTAAATTGAATTTTTTAAATTAGTAAGAAATCTGTATTTAGACTTCTCCAAGTATTTAAAAAAAAAAAATTAACATAATGGCTCCTTTAGGAATTTTCTACTTTTTCAGCATGAGCAATTGAATTCGATGAATCCACAGGAGTACTGCTTCTGCAACCTCCTTGACCAGTGGAGGAAGTTACTCCCATGGTTCTCCCACTCCTACAATCTAGGTGTGTGCCCTTATCCCACTGTGTCTTACCACAAAGACACTTACATGGTTATGGCCCATCTTCTTACTGCATCTCTTGCCTCACTCTCCGTTTATCTCAGTCTTTTTTAATGCATCCAGGGCTTCCAAATCCACATTCCTAAATTCCAACTCACTGCTGCTCAAATTCACTTTGATATTTCCATCTGCCTAATGGACATCTTCATACATATTTCCCCTTGGGCACTCCAAATTTCACATGTCCCAAACCCTATTATCCCACCAGAATCCTAAAAGTGCTTAATGACACCACTATCTAGCCAGTTAACCAAGCCAGAAACTTGAGGGGCCTATCCATTTCACCCTCTAAATGTCTCTCAGCTGCCACCCCTTTTCTGTATCCTCCCATGCCTTGCTTCACTGAAATCACACAATATCTTATCTCTAAGAGCTCCTCCCATTATATCCCATCTTAACCACTGCCAGAGCTATCATTCTAAATTACACATCTGATTTACCAAACCCTATGTAATAATAATTTCAACTGAGTTGGATATGGTAGAATAATGGAAGAATTTCATTTCTTTTTGTATCATTCCAGTGTTGTTTCCATTTGTGATGAAAAAATACTACTTTTACGGTGAGCAATTATCACCAAAAAAATACACCATTTATAAGGTCACTCCACTGGTTCTACAGTGAAGTCCAAACTCCAGAGCCTGGTGCAGGAGGCCCATCACTGTGTGTCCCTCAAGGACCTCCCAGGCTTTATCTTGTCCCCCCACCTAGCATCCACAACCCGAGGCTCTAACATCACTCTCCTTTCTCCAAATGCTCTTTTGAAACTCTACGACTTTGCAAACTCTGTTCCCTATTCCTGGAATATCCTTCCAGGTGAACTTCATCTTATTCCCCTTTTCGTATCTTCCTGTGTGTCCCAAATTTGCTTTATCATAAGAATCACCAGAGTCCAGGTACATGGGACACACCAAGTCAATCAGAATCTCTGAGGGAGAAATCCTGGCATCTGAATTTTTACTCCTCAGATAGTTTTTATATTCTAGCAAGAGTAGAAGACACTGGCTTTAAAAACACTTGAGAGAAAGTGATAAGGGGAATTTAACTTCCCACTCAACGTCATCTTAGAGGTTGGATTTTCTAAGTGTATTATCAGTGCTTACGGCTCGCTTCAGAACGTTCTCCAGTATAACCAGATCAAATCGCCTGTGTGAAACAGCCTGAGCTGAGGCCCAACATCTATGCATTATGTATGCACGTACACGTGCATTATGTATGCACGCACGTGGGCGTGGTGTAAAGGCTTAGCAGGTGGAACACAGGCATGAACTCATACGTGGCTATCTAAACACATTGCTATCTGCCCTCAGGCACTTTATAGTCTTTGGTGAGAGGATCCGTTAAAGCACTCCCATATTATGGTAAACCAGCAAAAAGAAATTAGAGTCTGTTATCTCTTAAGCACACACATACTTAATGCTGTGCCTACTTCCAAGTACCATGCGCATATATTAATTACCAAGTATGTTCTAGCCAGTTACATTCATTAGTTAAAAGCAAATACGAGTTTGCCACTGAAAACTAACAAACTCAAAATTAATTCTCTGTCCTATGACTAACTTGTTAAATATTCTTGAACAAGTTAAGTTTCAGTCTTTCAATTTTCTTACTTTTAAACAATTCTAGTTCTCTCTAGGACAGGGCAGAATTATGGAAGAATTTTTCTTTCAATTAATACAAATTCTGTATTTCACTTAAAGAAAGAGATTTTAAAGGAATGAAAAATAAACTACACGGGAAGAATCGGAGCTCTGGGTCTCAAAAGTATTTTGTTCTGATGCAATAGTGAAACAAAATCCAGATAATATTTAAAACACAAAATATTTTAAAAGACCAAATGTTCACTAACAGCAAATTTCAAAGGCAAGAACTTAAACTGGAGGCTTATTTGTGTCCTTCATGGGTAAAAATAAATCCAATTGAACTCAGCAGATACTAGCACACTTGTGGGGTGTATACTCTGGAACACATGGGGTTGCTGTGAGTTGGAATCAGCTGGACGGCATCGGCTTAAGTTCTTTTTGTTTGTTTTCATCCTGTGCCAGGGGCTGTGCAACTCGCCATAGCAAGGATGGGATAAGTACCTTTCTCAGCCAGATGAAATTTTAAAGGTCACCAAGCCCAGTCACCCTCTCCGTGTTTGACCACGTTTCAGCACAGCCTCTGGGACCTTCCCTTTGCTATCAGCCTGATTCGATCCTTAGTTTTGGTTTAACTTAAAAACCATTCCAATGAGCTCGAGCTCCTACTCCCAGCACTGTGTTCGTCAATGACCTGTAACTAGGGCACCTAACACCAATAGGGCACTTACTGTTTATTGAGCACCAACTGTGTCCTTGAACCCTGAGCCCATGATTACTCCCTTTAACAGCTCTGAGGGGCAAATATTACTTCTCCCATTTGCTACAAGGAAACCAAGGAGTGAAGAAGAGATTTGAAGCTAATGCTTTGTCTGTTTATCATAACTCTGCACTAAACTCTACTGAAAAGACCCCAATAAACCCGCCTGCTCACTGCCTCCCTCCATTTGAACACTGAGCGTGACCTTAACACAAGGTTCCTCCACTTAACTGGCCCCATTCCACACAGACCCATTTGCTTCTTTCACAGAACTCAGTATAGTCTGAAAGGAGTCCTGGTGGTATAATGGTTAAATGCTTGGCCGCTAACCAAAAGTTGGCAGTTTGAACCCACCCAGCAGCTCCGTGGGAAAAAAAGTTGGCAATCTGTTCCTGTAAAAATTACAGCCAAGGGGGTGACCCCGCCGGAGCCGCGGCTGCCAGCGACATGTTCAAGGTAATTCAGAGATCCATGGGACCGGTCAGCCTGAGTCTGCTCACCTTCAAAGTCTATGCGTCATCAAAGAAGGACTTACCCAACAAAAATTCCATCAAGGTTGATGAGCTTTCACTCTACTCAGTTCCGGAAGGTCAATCTAAGTATGTGGAAGAGCCAAGGACCCTACTTGAAGAAAACATCTCACAACTCCGGCACTTTTGCGAGCCATATACAACTTGGTGTCAGGAAAAGTACTTCTACACTAAGCCCAAGATGCAAAGTATTGCTCAGTGGGGGGCAGAAAACTATGAATATCTCCAAAATGCACCTCCAGGCTTTTTCCCAAGACTTGGTGTTATTGGTTGTGCTGGGCTTGTTGGACTCCTCTTCACTAGAGGTTCAAAAATAAAGAAGTTGGTATATCCACCTGCTTTCATGGGATTAGCTGCCTCTATTATCCACAACAAGCCATCAGCTTTGCCCAGGTCACCGGGGAAATATTATATGACTGGGGTTTGAGAGGATACATAGTCATAGAAGATTTGTGGAAGAACTTTCAAAAGTCAGGAAATGTGAAGAATCCACCTGGAAATAAGTAGAATGTGCCTTCCTCTGACCATTTTAATCAGTTATAGGTAAACATTGGAAACTCCATACAGTATTTCTACACAAAAATGGCGGAGAAGTCAGTATTGAATGTAGTAAATTGGCTTTCTTCTTCAGGAAAAACTCCACTACACTTTTCTTATCTTGGACGATCCCGTATTATAAGTCAGCTGATCAGAAAGCGTTTCACCTAGAGATAATGTACAAGCCTTAGAACTCCTTGTTCTCATGTTGCTATTTATGTACATAATTAAAATTCTAAGGCAAAAGAAAAAAAAAAATTACAGCCAAGAAAACCCTATGGGGCAGTTCTACTCTGTCACATAGAGTTGCTGTGAGTCAAAATCGACTCAACATCACTTACCAACATCAGCAACAGTACAGTCTGAAACAATCGTGTTGATAAATTGTTTGTTGTCTACCTTCTCACACATACACATGCACGCCCCAAAAAGAAGAATGCAGGCTCCGTTAACAGAAGTGATTTTGAATCACGAGTTCACTCCAATGGATCCATCCATGTGGAACACTTGGCTCAACAAATATTTCTAGAATGCACAAAGAACTCAACAACTTTTGTGGCATCATCTAATTCTGAACAGTGGAAATACATTTTAAAACTGTATTTCGGTGAAATATGCCCAGATAATTTATTTGCTCTTTCTTTTATTCCAGAGGTAAGCCTACAGTTTTCCTCCTAACTAAGGACCAGAAAGTGCATGAAAATTCCCTCAACTGGTAATATGAACCCAAAATGCCAGAAAAGTGAGAATTTTTGAAGAAAATGCTGATGAACTGTTTTTTTACTGGACACACACAAGCAGGCACCAATAATTCACATGAATTATGGGTGGAGGTGAAAGGGTTTAAAACTTCCTTCAGTTGAGCTAGCGAGATGGAATTCTGACTGAGCAGGCTTAATGGCTTGTTTGGAAAATAAATAAATAAAGGCACAAACAAAACCAAACCACTAAAGTAGAAAGGCAGATAATAGCACTTCTACTAAGTCCATGTTAGCACTCTCACTTGGAATTTTTATTCTGAAGTGTGGCTACATTTTCAAAAATTCTTTGAAAGCACAATCCCAAAAACCTACAAGGCTGAAATTGCTATTTAATGAAGACGCTTTCTAGCTCATAAAGAAAATCTCAAATGAGTAGTAGAACGACATAGTGCTTGGCCTCTGGAACCTTCCTCTTCATTATGGTGAGAAGCCAAATTTTGGTGTGTTTATTTTACTATTATTTTTTACATACCACTCTATAGTTGAGGAGCTCTGGTAGTATAGTGCCTAAGGCACTTGACTGCTAACCAGAAGGCTGGCGGTTCAAACCCACCAGCCACTCCTTGGAAGGAAGGTTGGGCATTCCTACTTCCGTAGTGATACTGCCTCGGAAACCCAAGGAGGGGTCGCTATGAGTCCGGGCCTGGCCGACTGGATGGCAAAACAACAACAACAACAACAACATAGTTGAAGAAAACCCACTAGCCTAATTAACAGTCCTCAATCCACACATTCATGCTAACCCCTGTGGCAACTCCCTCTTCCTGAAAGGCTCTTGGGATGGCCAGAGATGGGAATCCAAGTATATTTAACATGATGGAATGTTGTAGAAAACTATCTCTATGCAGTTATTTTGGTTACCTTGGAAGATGAGAATGGGAGGAGACTCTGGGTATACTTATTTGAGTTGCTGATTATTTCAAACATCTTTCCCTTCATTAACTCCTCTTTCTCCATAGTTTTGTCTTGCTTCAGTAAATAGCAAGCCTACTGGGCCGGCACTGGGTTCAACTCTATCACTGGAAGATTCCTCTATGCTTCCTTCAAGGGCACCCATACTATAATAGGAACAAGGCAGAGAAGAACAGTGGATGTTACCACAGATATTCTATCGAACATCAGATGTATGGGGTGGGGGGAAGAGGAGGTATTCTATCCAAAGTTCATCTCTTCTCTCCTCTGAACTCCTGCAGCTTCCACTCAAGCGCCTGCCATATTCTGCCCCAAATTCATAAATTTCATCTCCTCCAGTCTGTAAGCTCCCTGGGGTAAGGAACTTTCTTATTGCTCAAAGTGTGGAATACAATTGAGAAAACTTCTGTGAATAGAATGAATTGTCCTTGTTGAATAACGAGCAGCAACAACCACTCACAACTATCCACTGAGCCACTAAATTTCCAACTGAAGGAGCCAACCCATATCCAAGGAGAAAGGGGTTCATGCTCTAAGTGGCGAGCTCCTCGACTTGACAGGGCCAGGTTACTGCAGGGGACTAACATTTTAGTGCAAAGCATTGTCAGGAGATAGAATCAGATGGGCACACACTGTTTCAAAAGCATGGAGTAGTCACGGGCCTGCCGGCCTCGGACCGTCACCTCCCACCCCCAGCCAGGAAACTGGGAACAACCAGTACTAAGATGGGGTGGTGAAGACAGCACTAGAATCCACTCAGTGGCAGTGGGTTTTTAAACTTATTGTAAATGTTTTATCCACACAGATTAGAGGATGACCAAAAGTTATTTGTGCTGAGTGTTTGCACAATTTCAACATCATGAAAGAGTCCTTGAGTTCACTCAAATCACAGTAAATTAAAAAAGAGAGAGACTAACAACAAAATTTTCAGACTCAGTAACACAATCACACTATTACACACTATATAATAAATATTCACTCAAGGAAAAAAAGAGTCCCTGAGTCAGAAGGAGTTTGGGATGTCCTTCCGGCATTACGAAGCTGATATGGTGCTGGGGGGGGGGGGGGGGGGGGGGGGGGCGGAGGGGGTTTGAAGAGTCCAAGCTTTGAAATCACATAGTCACAATCTCTAACTCCTCCACATAACCTGGATGCCCTGGCCAAGTTATGTAACATTTCTGTTCTTGATTAAGTCATTCAAAGTATATATAACCAGCAACTGGTTTATGTCAAGGAACTCCGATGGCTAATGGTTAAAGCATTCAGCTGTTAACTAAAAGGTCAGCAGTTCAAACCTACCAGCTGCTTCGTGGAAGAAAGATGAGGCAGCAGCGTCTATAAAGATTTACAGCCTTGGAAACCCTGTGGGGCCGTTTTACTCTGTCCTAAAGGGTAACTATGAATCAGAATTGACTAGATTTCAGTGAGTGGGTTTGGTTTTTTGGTTTAGTATGTGTCAGACATCTTTCCAAGGACAAGATTTACAAGAGTACACAAAACAAAGTCCCTACACCAAAATAATGGTTGTGTGTGTGTGTGTGTGTGTGTGTGTGTGTGTGTGTGAGAGATAACAGGACCTACTTTCTCGGGATATTATAACAATTCCACATCAAGTATTGTAGGTAAAGTTTTTAGCACAGTGTCCAGCCTATGAATGATGCTCTTCAATAAAGGGTAGCTCTCATTTTAAGGAGGAATGATCAGTTTGCACATGCTGGAGGAAACATCAGATGCATGGGAGGAAAAGAAAAGGAGGAAGTGGAAGACTACACTGGCAAACTGTCACATCCATCACCTCACTGAACCAAGGATTGGGAGCGGTGATCTGCTAAGGTACATGGATGAGGCCCCTCCTGTCTAGTTTCTCTCTAGGGTTTACTCTGCCAAAGGTTACTTTCCCTGTTAGGGGTGGGGACATCCACACGACCTTTGATACTTAGAGAACAAGGAAGGGTTCCAAGAAATCAAATTGTGGTCCCTGCATCAAAGATGGTCAAGGACTCAACTGCAAAGGACTCCAGAGTATGGATGTCAATGACCCTTCTCATGAGCCTTTCACGTCAATCACAGAGGACTTATCAGTACTCCCCAGATCCACCTTGTTCTTTGAATCCACTATGGCTTTGCCCTTTCTATTCCTTCTCCTTTGCATGTCCTGCCCCGCTCTCCATGCTCTAATAATAATTTCACCCATCCTTGCAGATCCATTCATACAACACCACGTCAGAAGCCTTCCTGAACTCCCAGATGGACAGTAAGCACTCATCACAGGACGTGTCTACTGAGTTATCTATTTCATGTTCATTCCGTCATTAGAATACCCTCCTTGTATGCCCAACATCAAATTCGGGGCAGGAGGCATCCTCAGATCTCTCTTTCACTCGTTTACGCAGAAAATATTTACCGAGCACTGACTCTGTGGTCCACTCTATTCTAAAGGACTACGTAAAAGGCAATGAACCCAACGGCCCGAAACACCAGCTCTGGGGATCTTCCATTCCAGTGGTGGCCAGCTCCTCACCTGTCTTTCCACACCACTGTCCTCCGATCAGCCTGAGCACCCACCACAAGCATTCCAGGCGTAAGCAGCCATCGTATGCAGCACGTTTTCATGAATAAACCTCCCTCAGCTTCAAATTCTTTGAAGTGTGAAGCAAAACCAAATGACCTCTCCACAACAAGTTCTGCCCTCCATGCCACTGCCTTGGGGAGTAGGTGCCCTGTTTTTAAAACAAGGAGAAACTTCATCCCCCAAAAGCTAGTTTGATGCCTGGAGGGAAAAAGAACAGAATTATTTCCTAGGAAAGAGCTCCTCCAGAAAAAACAAACTACTCGCATGAGGCCCCCACACCAGAATTCCCTCCAGGAAGCTTCCAGCTATGGGCATGTGGTTCTTTTTTCACACTACATTCCCTCGCCACCTTTACGTGTCCACCTGAGCCATACCAGCCCTTGTTTATTTACACTGCCCCAGTGCTGTGCCTGGCCCTCTTACATGTGTATGCACATATGCATGTATGTATACAAGTATGTATTTTCAAGGTCTACATTCTTTACTGAGTTAAACGACTGTTTTGTTTACAGATGACTTCATGGGATAGTTTCAATTCAAAGTTTAAAGATTATTGCAGGACAATAGATTCCTGAGTTCCTCTAGTCTCAGCGGATCCGTAAGTCTGGTTTTCACAAGAATTTCATGTTCTGTTGTACATTTTTCTTCCTTTGATCGGGATCCATCTATGGATCAAAATGATCCATACTTGATCAAAATGTTCAGTAATGATACACACACACAAACACGTCTGTGTATGTATACATAGGTATATATTTGTACATATGTATATGTGTACATAGGAACTCTGGTAGCGTAGTGCTTGACTGCTAACTAGTAGAAGGCTGGCGGTTCAAACCCACCAGCCATTCCTTGGAAGGAAGGTTGGGCAATCTACTTCTGTAGTGATACCACCTTGGAAACCCAAGGAGGGGTCGCTATGAGTCCGGTCCGACTAGACGGCACATAACAACAACATATGTGTACATATGTATTTCTCTTCCAACTC